CTTCCCAGCCTGAAAAGATGCTGGGGCCCAACTGTGACGTTATCTTGTGGGTGCTGAGAGGCAGACCCCCCCTGCCATTGAGTCCATTCTCGCTCACAGCCACCCTAGAGGACAAGGTAGACCTGCCCTGGTGGGTTTCTGAGACTGTAACTCTTTAAGTCTCGCCTTTCTCCCACGAAACTGCTGGTGGTTCCGATCTGCTGACCTGGAGGATAGCAGCCCCGTGCACAGCCACGACACCACCAGGGCTCAGAGGAAGATTCAGTCCACACAAAGGGTTGGTTTCCCCGAGTTTCTCTCTTACAGCTTTCCTAGTTGTTACATGACCTCTCACCTTTGCATTTTATCTTTACAGCATAGCACTGAAAGCTATGGTCAACAATATTATTATCGTTTCCAACTATGGAGGGGAAATTTTTTTAATTCATTTGTGTTTTTAGCCATAGCAATAACATGTATTCCCAATAACATTACTGTGATATTTGTGTCCGTAAAGCATCATAAACAACAAGGCCAATAACAGGATGCCTATAAAACTACAAATGTTCTTTTCTGGAAAAGTAGCCCTTTTGTTTCTCTTGGGACTAGAGCCAAGTTCTCTGACAGTTATTGGTCCGAGTTCTGTGGAACTTCTGCTGGGCACTTGGGGACCCAGCAGAGATTTTTAAGCAAGAACGTGTCAGCCATTGACTATTTCTCAGGTTCACCAGGTCCCTGGTATGGAAGGGAGTCTGGAGTGACAAAATTCCTGTCATTGTGAAGTGCATAGTTTTGTGGGAGGGAGAGGCATGCAAACAAGTAGATACACTATGGTCAGAACTGGACAAGAATTATGCAGTGTGAGGTGGGGGCCTGGAGTGAGAATAAATGGGGATGTCAAAAGAACAAAACCTAAAGCCGGTTCAAAACTACAGAAGAGGTTTATTTAACAAAGATCATTCCATTGGGTGATTACCAACTGGGATCTTAAACCCCACCTGAGCACCCATTGAAGTTACAAGAATTGGTCTTGTCCCACCAGGAGCAAAGAAAAGTGATGGCAAGCGTGATACTCTTAACGTGGTAAGGATTAGTTCAGTGGCCTAATGGACCATGCATACAAACATTAGGTTCCATAACCCTGAGAACAGAAAAGCTAGATGGTGCCCAGCTTTCACTACCACCTGCTCTGAAACAGATCATGTTAGAAGGTCGTAGATAGTGTGGCAGAAAAACGGGGGGCAGAACTCAAAACCATTAAAGAGATTGGGGCTGATTGGTCAGATACAGACTATGGCCCTTAGACATCCTGCAGGTCTAGAACTCCACCCACCCCTGCGCTAGAATAATCAACCATGTAAGATCCACCGGGCAGCATGTACTGAAGGACGGGGATTAGGAACAGTGGAGAAATGGAAACAGGAAATGCTGGGAGAGAGTGGGGAATCAAAAGTATATTGAGGGTTTTGAAATGGATGAAGTGGGAAAAAACGTGTCTAAAGGATTACGTGTACAACTGACCTGCTCTGCAAACATTTACCTAATTCCCAACAAAAAGGTAAGGAAAGAAAAAAAGAGCATGGACCTTGGGTTTTTGGGGTGGGGTGGGGAGGGGAGGATCAGGCTGGCCAACCTTGATTTCTTGATATTCCCATTCTCCCTCCCACACCTATTCAGGGTCCATGTCTGTCTAAGCATCCACTCCTGGCTCACCACGATTGCAGGATTATGTTCTCCCTGCCATGGCGTCGATTCTGGCTCACGGCTACCCCATGGGGTAGAGCAGAAGGGCCCATGAGTTTCTGGGATTGAAACTCCTTAGAAAGCCTCATCTTTCTTCTGAGGAGCAGCTGGTGGTTTTGAACTGTTGACCTGTGTTTAGCAGTTCAATGCATAACCACTGTGCCACCAGGGCTCCTGCAGGACTGTGTATATAACAGTATCTGCTTCTGTTGCCTTTAACTTTTGCAAACCTCCCTACCTTTATACTCTTCTGTTTCCAATCTTGGTAAAGTGATAACCCAAGTTATCTATTGTCTACTTTCTCGTCAGAATTTAACCTTCCTCCCGTCCCTTCTATCCTTGGTAAAGGGATGTTTCTTTTGGTGTGAAAACCTTTTCTAGACTTTTAAATAGTGGTCTTAGACAGTCTTTGTCCTTTTGCGATGGACTAATTTTGCTCAGCTTTATGTACTCCGGTTCATCCATTAAGCAGTACGCAGAGCCATCGTTCTTCTTTAAGGCTGTGTAGTATTCCATCGCATTCCACTCCTTATACCAAAATTTATCCATTCTTCCACTGATGAAAGGCCCCTGCTCTGAATCACCGGTTACTCAGCCTCCTGATTGGCATTAGGGGTGCTCCGTTCTGAACTTGGGGATCCCTGGTGGTGTAGCAGTTATGAGTTGGCATCGACTCAATTACAGTGAGTTTAGCTAAAATATTTTTAAAAAATTTATTCTGAACTTAGACCTTTCCTGCATGTGCTAGACAATGTACTAGAAGCTTGGGGGGAAAGATCCGGTCTTTTGCCCATGGAGAAGTACCTCCGACCGTAGATTGTGAGAAGACATCTTGCTTTGAGAGCGTATAGCTTGCGAGGGCCTTTGGTTTTGGTTTAATGTCCTAAGGGAAAGCTGCAGGCAGGGCCGCCAGCCTCAAGGAGCCCCCTCTCTTTAGGTTATGAGCCCCTGAGGTGAACAGGTAACCTCCACCCTCACAAGCAGTGAGCTTAATCCCTTCTGCCAAAAAAGACAGGGTATTTCCAGCAGCTGTGGGTTGGATGGCTGGGCTAGGGAAGAAATTCTGGCACAGGGACCGGTCAGGAGGTGGTTGCAGTAGTTCAGGATAGTGCAGGGAGGAAAGGATGAAATATTTGGGGACAAAATCGCCAGCACTCAGTGAATTGTCAGGAAGGGGAGAGGAGAGGAGATGGGATTTGGGGGATTAGGTGGATGGAAGATGTTGGGTTCCTAAGCAGCAGCCCAGGGGCTTCCATGCACCCTCATCATCTGGTCCTCTTGGACGTGAAGTTGACATTTTCTCAGGCATTATGAATTTCTAAGCACATTTCTAAGCAGGACTTGCTTCCAATGGGATTACCACGCCAAGCCTCACGTTGTTTGGCACCTGGAGCTACTAGTGTGCACGTGGTGTGCCTATGTGCAAAGGAGGTGGTCTGAGCTAATGACCAAGATTATCATCTAAGGACAAAGGAGAAGATTGGTGTTGGGTGCTGAACAGCTTTAGGCTTGGAATTCTGAGTAAGATTGCTTTGTTTTACCGGTGCTGCCAAGTCAGCTAACTTAGAGGGACCCTAGATACAACAGAACAAAACATCCTTCACATTGTTGCTTGAACCCATTGTCGCAGCCACTGTGTCAATCCATCTCATTGACGGGTCTTGCTCTTTTTTACTGACTCGCTCCTTTACCAAGCATGATGCCCTTTTCCAGATAACATGTCCAAAGTACGCGAGATAAAATCTGGCCACGCTTGCTTCTAAGGAGCATTTTGGCTGTACTTCCAAGACTTATCTATTTGTCTGGGAGTCCAGGGTACTTTCAATATTCTTTACGATGTATATTCAAATGTGTCAATTCTCCTTTGGTCTTCCTTATTCATCGTCTGGTTTTCTCATACATATAAGGCACACGAAAATCCCAAACCTGGGTCAGGCCCACCTTAGTCCTCAAAGTGACATCGTTGCTGTTTTAACACTTTATTAAAAGAGGTCTTGTGCAACAGATTTTTGCTTAGTGCAACATGTCTGATTTCTTGACTGTTCCTTCTATGAGTGTTGATTATGTAAGATTAGTTTTCAGAAAGCAATTGTTTGGAATTGTGACTCAGACCTTGTTATGGGTGCAAATTCAGTCAATAAACTGAGTATTTACTGCATGTCAAATTCCTTTTCCCACAAAGGATAGAGCAGAGTACTAGGCAAAAAGGTGCTGTCCTCCAGGGGTGGGAGAGATAGATAATACACATGTATATAATGCCAGTGCTATGAAGGAAAACAGAACGAGGGAAGAGAGTCCTGGGAGAAATGGTAGTGGTGGCGATGTCTTACATGGGGTGTTTATGGAGAGATTTTTTTTTTAAGGTAATATTGAGCAGCAACCTAAAACCAGTAGACACTGTTGGATATTCATTCATGAGGTGATGGAGGAGGAAGGCATACAAAATACGTTGCATTTGAGATGCCCGTCCCCCCCCCCCCCAACTCTGGGCTCAAACATAACAATTGTGAGGTTAGCACAGGCCCTCCGTGTTTTGTTCCGTTGTGCACGGACCGGGCAGCTATTTGAGTTGGAACCGACTCAACAGCCAAGTCCACTCCCCCGCGAGGTAGCAGACATCCCGCGTAGAAATGTAGACGGATGAAAACTTCAGGTCTGAGCTCAGCGTGAAGTCTGAGGTTTGGGAGTTGTCCTTGACATCAACTCAACCTTCAACGCCAGTGTCTGGTTCCAGTTCAACATGCTCTTGCTAGACTCCACCAGGTGCCAGGCACCTGAGGCGGAATGCAGCTATTCGGCTGCTCGACACGCCCCACGAACAAACCCGCGGTTTCCCGCTCCTAGCAAGGCCCTCGGGGAGCAGAGGGCCGCGCGAGCGGAGGCGAGCGCGCGGGAAGAGGTAAGGCGGCGCGGTGACGCACGGCCCCGCGCGTCACAGAGGCCTGATGGTGCGGCCCGCGGCGCCCCGGCGGTTGCGCAGCTCCGCGCCGGGGGCGGGGCGTGACGGCGCCCCCACCGTGAGCACGCGGCGCCCTCTGCAGGCCAGAGGCAGCCACACACGGCGGTCGCATCCTTCAAGGCTTCCCGCCTCCCGCAGCCTGGGTTTTTGTTGGTTATGGCTCCGGCGTCTGCCCCAGCCTGCGGCGTCCGCCCCTCCTCTGCGCTCCAGGGCCGGCGCGTGTCCGTGACGTCACCGGACGGCGGCCAATAAAGTGTTTTCTTGTTCCCCAGTGCGGCGCCTCCTCTCAAGCCTCGCGAGACCCGGCGGCACGCGCACCATGGCGGCGGCGTTGGAAGTGCCCGCGGCCTCAGCCTCCGACGAGATGGCGGGCCCGGCGCCGGAGCCGCCCCCGGGGCCGGCGCGCAGCCTGCGGACGGCCCACGACCTCGGCGGCCCGCGGCCCCGCACGGGGGACGTGCTGCTGGCCGAGCCCGCGGATTTCGAGTCGCTGCTGCTGTCGCGGCCGGTGCTGGAGGGCCTGCGGGCGGCGGGCTTCGAGCGGCCCTCGCCGGTGCAGCTCAAAGCCATCCCGCTGGGGCGCTGCGGCCTCGGTGAGGGCGGGGCCGGGGCGGCGGGGGCCGCTGGGCCGGGCCGGGCTGGCACCCCGCGCTGCCCGCCCAGCCTCGGTTTCCCCTGCTGTCAAACTCAGCGCAGTTTTGAGGGTCGTTCTGGCCCGGCGTGAGGTGGTAAAACGGTGGTTGAGGCGGCCTGGTTCGGCGTTTTGGAGGGTGAACTAAAAGTGCAGGTGCCACCTCGATCCCCGAAGGCCCACCCTAGTGCCCAGATTCCGGGTTGGGATTGGTACTCGCTGGTGATTGGTGTGTTTCCCTTCTCAGATTTGATTGTTCAGGCGAAGTCTGGTACTGGGAAAACGTGTGTCTTCTCCACCATTGCTTTGGACTCCCTCGTTCTTGAGAACTTAAGTACCCAGGTGAGTTTAGCTCGGAGGCGCGAGTTGAACATCGAGCCGGTGGAGGGGTGGTGCTGGGGATGGGATGGTTACCAAGTCTGGAATTTCACATTATTACCACATCACGTATAGTGAGCCTCCTCCCATGTGTGTCCGAGGCGGCCAATGAGGATTCCTTGTTCTTTTACTTGCTGACTAGATTCATGGTGGTGTGGTCCTTTGGCTGTATTACTCCAAAAACAAAGCAAAGCAAAAATAAAATAAGCCAACAAAACTCACTGCCATCAAGTTGATTCCACCTCATAGTGAGTCTACAGGACAGGGCAGAACTGCCCCAGTGAGCTTTTTCTGGGAGTCCTGTCTTTCTTCCACAGAGCAGCTGGTGGTTTTGAACTGCTCACCTTCCAGTTAGCAGCCCAACTCATAACCACCAGGCTCCTGGTACTTAGACATGTTCTTGGTTATAGCAAATGCAGGTGTATCTGATGAGGATGATCCTTTAATATCATTGTTTTTAATTAGGCATCCGTAGGTACGTCATCCAGGAAGCTGTTAGAGATTGACTGAATTGGTGGCACTCTTAGGAAATTGAACTATCCAAGGACCTTTTGAATTGAACTATTAGGAAATTGAACTATCCAAGGGCTTTTAGGATGGTTTTAGGTGTATTTGAGATTTTGGTTCTGACAGTGAACACCATGGCTGTGGGTAAAAGGGCCAAAATGGAATACATTCCATGTAGAAAATTCTTTTTAAAAAATTAAGTTTAAGATCTTTGTTATACACACAATATAATAAAATTACGGCATCCAAGTTATACATGTTCATTATTGAAAACTTGGAAAAATAAAGGAGAAATTGTACCAAGAAACAAAATCTATGACATAAACTGCTCTTAACACTTGGCATATTTTCTTCTAAGCAGTTTTTTTCCTGCTTCTTGGAGTTGAGAACATATAGTTTAATCTCCAGGAGTCATATTGCATGTGACTCACATGGCCTCTCATGATTCAGCTCCTGGAACTAGATCTCTGCCCTCTTCTGCTTTCCCTGCTCTGAAAACCAGTCCCATAGTCTCTTTGCTGTCTTGTTCTTGGCCAAGTATCACGTCTCCATGCTGTATATTCATGTCTGCTCAAATATTACCTCCTGAGGGGGTCTTTCTAGACCACTCTATTGAGTTGGTTTCTTTCCCTTTGTCATTTCTTGGCCCTTACATGGTTAGATGGTGAGGTTTTCCTTCTTAGCAATTTTTCTTATTTGCCATCAGTTTTAAGGAGGAGCCCTAATAGTGCTGTGGGCTGATTGCTGAGTTGCAAATTGCAAGATCAGTGGTTCAAACTTAGCAGCCACTCAGAAGGAGAAAGATGAGGCTCTCTGCTCCCTTAAAAGATTTATAGTTTTGGAAACCCTGTGGAGCAGTTTAACGCCGCTTAAAGGAATTCTGTGAATTGGAATCGATTTGATGGCAATGTGTTTATTATTTGTTTATGTTTATTATCTGCCTTGTCATATTAGAATGGAACTCCCAAGGCCTTTCTTATTGTTAACTGATTTCCTAACTAGTATATGGCCTGAGGTGTCCAGGGTGGTAAAAATGGTTTGTGCTTGACTGCTAATCTAAAGGACCCACCAGTGCTGCTGCAGAGACAAGGCCTGGCTGGCGATCCCTTTATGTAAAGATAACTACAGCATAGGAGACTGCCTAGAGCAGTTCTACTTGAGTCCCACAGAAGGTCACCATCAATTGGTACGTTTTCTAGAACTTGGCGGGTTCTCATTTAATAATTACTGGGGAAATTCATATAAATGGAATAGTTTCCTTTGCCAATCACAAGTATCTGTTTACTTTATTAAAGGTATGTTTTTATGCTCTTTTAGATTTTGATTTTGGCTCCGACAAGAGAAATCGCTGTTCAGATACATTCGGTTATCACAGCCATTGGAATCAAAATGGAAGGCCTAGAGTGTCATGTCTTTATTGGAGGGACTCCACTATCACAAGACAAAACCAGACTTAAAAATTGTCACATTGCTGTTGGATCTCCTGGTGAGACACCAGTGTCTGGGTAACGGGGCTTTCAGGAACTGAACACTATTACTATAACAAGGGGGTGGGAGTCCTCAGTGACTATGGTCATCCTTTTGCGATGAGAAGTGAAGAGCATTGGACCTGTGAGAGAAAGACACGTGGCTGGATTTGCAGTGAGATGTACAACTCTTCTTCCCTACTACGGAGAGTTAGGAATGCAAGGGAGGCAGGATGAGATGACTCCTAGGAAACTCAGATTCTGGATTCACTCATATTATCTGGAGTCGTAGTGCCCTTTGACTTCTGTAGTAGTCATTTGGTTAGGGATTCATCAGAATCTCTCATTTAATACCAGAGCGTTCCAGTTGTTTGGCCGGAGATGGCGTTACATTGCTATACATATTGATGATGAAATGGGGAGGCAAAGTAATAGGTTGAAGCCAAGATGAGAACTTAGGATTTCAAGTTTATATGTAAATGCATAATGGGACTTGGGCCAGGAAATTCAGTACAACCTGAGTAGGTTAACAGCCTTGGCTGAGATTGTACACACATGTACTGCATCATAAATTTTTCCCTGTGTGTGTGTTTTTTTTTTGTCTTCTGGAATTTAGGCAGAATTAAACAACTCATAGAACTTGACTACTTGAACCCAGCCAGCGTGCGTCTTTTTATTCTTGACGAAGCAGATAAGCTTTTAGAAGAAGGCAGCTTCCAGGAGCAAATAAAGTAAGAACAAGAGTCCCTGGGTTATGAACGTGGCACTGCAGTGGGACAGCTGGAACTTCCGTGTGGTGGTTGCTGCTGTTTTGAGTCATTTCAGTGGTGTGTGTGTGTTCTGTTTTCCAGTTGGATTTACTCGTCTTTGCCTGCCAGTAAGCAGATGTTGGCAGTGTCGGCAACATACCCTGAAGTTTTGGCTAACGCTTTGACAAAGTACATGAGAGATCCCACTTTTGTAAGATTAAATTCTAGCGATCCAAGTCTTATAGGTGTGTACAGTTTTGTGATATTCACATTAACAGTTAGTTGCTTACGATCTGGGGCTTTCCCCTGCCCAGTTGATTAGGCAGTTTTTGCTTCATATGTGCTATTAAGAGTATATGTGATCTATTTTTCTGTTTTGTTTTCATTTAAGGACTTTTATTTATCTTTTTGTAGGTTTGAAGCAGTATTATAAAATTGTTAATTCCTACCCTTTGGCTCATAAGATTTTTGAGGAAAAGGCTCAACATTTGCAGGAGCTGTTCAGCAGAATTCCATTTAATCAAGCCTTAGTCTTTTCTAATTTGCACAGTAGGTAATGTAACTAAAAGCCACCTGGGTAACTTGTGGAACGAAAGGTTAGGTGTGGACCTGTAATTATTTAAAACAATTATGTCCCTTTCAATTTCTCATAGAGCACAGCATTTGGCTGAGATCCTCTCTTCGAAAGGTTTTCCTGCTGAGTGCATATCTGGTAAGTTGTTCGTTTAATTTTGGCTTACTATCCTGACTGGAAGCCTCCAGACTTAGGAGGAAGAATTACTGCTTGATGAGGGATCTCATGAGTTACACCGAGGCTTTACAGCAGTGGTTCTCAGCTTTCCTAATACCGTGACTCTTTAATACAGTTCCTCTTGTTGTGGTGATCCCCCAACCCTAAAATTATTTTCGTTGCTACTTCACAACTGTAGTTTTGCTACTGTTATGAATTGGGCGACCCCTGTGAAAGGGTTGTTCAACCACTAAAGGGGTTCAAAGGGGTTGCGACCCACAGGTTGAGAACCGCTGCTTTTAGAGGCAAGGGCATTTCAGGTTCATTTTCATTGGGGCTTGTTCAGTGGCCTCACGTCAGTTCCAGTTCAATGACCGCCTGAGGGTAGAACTGCCCCATGGGGTTTTCTTGGCGGTAATTTTTACTTGTCGATGGAAATCAAAGCCTTGCAACTCAGTATAAAGACAACCCAAATCCTCACAGCTGGACATTGTGGTAAGTGGAGAAAGGATTGAAATTGTCAAGGATTTTGTTTTGGTTGGATCTACAATCCGTGCCTGTGGAAGCAGCAATCCAATCAAATGACATTGCATCGGAAAAAATCTGCACAAAACCGATTTAAAGTGTTGAAGAGAAGAATGTCACTTTGAGGACCAAGGTGCACCTGGCCAAACCATGGTATTTTCAGGTGCCTCATGCATGTGAAAGGTGGACCGTGCATAAGGAAGAGTGAAGAACTGATGCTTTGGAAGGATGGTGCTGGCAAGGAATGTTGGTAGTTTCTTGGACTGCCAGAAGAACAAAGGAACGTGTCTTGGAAGAAGTACAGCCAGTTCCTTTGGACATGCTACTAGGAGAGACCGTCCTTGGGAAAGGACATCACTCTTGGTAAAGTGGAGGGGCGTCGAAAAAGAGGGAGACCATCCATGAGATGAATGCACAGGGGTGCAAAAATGGGGTCAGATGTAACAACTGTGAAGACGGCGCAGGACCGGGCCCTGTTTTCTTCTGCTGCACAGAGGGTCGCTGAGAGTCGGCACCTCACCCTACTCTTTACAGAGGGCACTGCCAAGGGAGCTTGGCATGCCAGCGTTTCATCTGGCAGCTGGTGCTCTGCGTGTTCTGCCACTAAAACTACATGTAACTAGGTCAAATGCTGTGGATAGAATGTTATTTATTTAACAGAGTTTTGTTTTAAAGAATAATTGCGTATATAGTAAAGAAATAGCAGACCAGTGTTCTAAACTGGGTTTTAGTATCCATGAAGAATTTAGTATATGTGCTGCCAAAGCAAGCACTTATGAAGAATTTAATAATCCTATAAAACAAAAAAATTGTCATTGTTGTCTTAGGAGAAGTCTGTCTTTTTGTAAGCATTGTTAACGATGCTGTTTTATGGTCTTGTGGAAGGTAAAAGTAAATGAGCTCTTGCCATAAATTCAAATTGTTACCGTTGTCGAAAAGGAATGACCGTGACCCAGGGTGGTCCAGCGGGTAAGTGCTCAGCTGTTAGCTGACCAGTGGGCAGTTTGAACCCCCACAGCAGCAGTGAGGGAGAAAGATGAGGCAGCCTTGGAGCCCCATGAGGCGGTCCTACCACCCTGTAAGTGAGAACCGCCTGGATGGCGGTGGGCCATCCTTGAAATAGGAAGGAAAGAGAAAGAAAGTTTTGATAGTTGAGAACCTCTTTAGAGGACTTTTCTTTGTGTGTGTGTGTGTGTACTTTGTTTTTACCTATTAGCTGAGTTTGAATTTGTTAAGCCCTATTGTATCAGGTAATTAATACTGAGGAGACTTTTTTAACGAACAAATATTTTAATTACAATTCAAATTTCTAAATGACCAATTAAAGCAGTTTTATTTTGACATGAGCTATTAGCTGCTCCTTACACGTAGCAGTTTTATATGGCGAATGTCATGTCTTAGTTTGACAACAATTTAAAATTGCTTTTTGAATTTTCAGTCATCGCAGAAGTGAAAACTGTTAAAGACTTTGACTTGAAGGCTTAACCCCTGGTTTGAACTGAGCCTGGGCATGTTTAAGGTGAACTGCTGGGCATGTTTAAGGTGTTTGAGGGGGGTTAGAATCTCTGCTTCCTGTGGATTTGATGGGTGTGCATTCCTCTCGTCGTCGTTTCACGTGACATCTCATTTGGTCTTTTTAGGGAACATGAGTCAGAATCAGCGTCTTGACGCCGTGGCTAAACTGAAGCAGTTTCACTGCAGGGTCCTCATCTCCACAGATCTGGTACGCTCTGGGGGCGGGCATCTGGACCTGTGTTCTAGTTAGCAGATGCTGTTTGCTGATGCGATTGCGTTTGTGGCTGCATGGAACAAGACTATGTCAGTGCCAGGACCTGCGCTTTCCTAAAAGGGTCTTTGAAATTTTCTTTAAATTGCTTCATTAGCAATGAATTTCATTTTGCTCCGCACCCACGTGGCCTGCTGTATGTGGTTCTTGGCTCTGGTCGGAGCGTACCGAGCCTCATGAGGGGTACTGGCACTGGTAGCCGTGCACGCAAATGATCGCTCTCTTCTTCCATTTATTAAGACTTCTCGCGGGATTGATGCTGAGAAAGTGAATCTGGTTGTCAACTTGGATGTGCCATTGGATTGGGAGACATACATGCATCGGATTGGCAGAGCTGGTCGTTTTGGTAAAAACACATAGAAAAATTTTTTTTTAAAGGGGAAGAACTTCCAGTGTGGGAGATGGACTTGGAGCATCCTGTGTGGTTTGTGTCTTCACATTCCCTCTTGCTTTAGGGACGTTGGGACTCACGGTGACCTACTGTTGTCGGGGCGAAGAAGAGAACATGATGATGAACATTGCTCAGAGGTGTAATCTCAGCCTTCTTCCTCTTCCAGGTACATGCTGTCTGTTTCATCTTACTGTCGCGCTGTGACGACGCTAGAAATAGGTGTAACACGAGTGTCTAACAATGCTTATGTGCTGGGGACTGTGTCAAGTACAGTTGACCCATGAACTTCACCAGCGTTAGGGGTGCTGACCCTCACTCTTCACCCTCATCCCTGTTCCTTGCAGTTGGAAGTCTGGCTCCCCCAAACTTAGGACTACATGCCTGCTCTTGACCTACTGCTCACAAACAGTGGGGTGACACCTCGTTTGTGCTCTGTGCATTACGGACTGCATGCTGGTGCCGCTGCTGTGGCGGTTTCACAAGGTGCCTTTTGATTTTTGACAGTGGTCCTTACAGCTGCAGCTGCAGAGCTCAGTCTGGGACACAGCGAGCACGAGCGTCCGCTTTTCTTGTGATGCCATGGCCAGTGCTCTGTTTTCTCGGAGCCCTTCAAGCACTGGGTGTGGGTCCCCAGTGTTACTCAGAGTACAGTGATGTGCGGCATTACTTTTTCCTACAGTGCACTTTACTGGAGGGATGGCCTGCACACGCACACAGAGAGGATTAGTGTCACGTGGCATTAAAAACAATCTGCAAATAAGTGGATCCATGCAGTTCAAACCCATGTTCAAGGGTCAATTGTGCTTGCTTTCTTTTTTTTTTTTTTTAAATCATTTTGTTGGGGGTTCTTAGAGCTCCTTTAACATTCAATACATCAATTGCATCAAGCATTTTTGTACATACGTTGCCATCATTTTCTAAATATTTATTTTTTCTTTTATTGGAGGCTCTTACATCTCTTATCACAGTCCACCATTTATCCAGTGTGTCAAGCACATTTGCACATATGCCACCATCATCATTTTCAAAGCATTCTCTTCCCACTTGAGCCCCTGATATCAGCTCCCCGTTTCTTCCCCCTCCTCCTCCCTCCCCCGCCCACCCTCCCTCACAAACCCTTGATAAGTTATGTATCATTATTTTCATATCTTACATCGTCCAACTGTGCTTTCTGTATTGCTAACTCATTCTCACAACCTCTGAAGTACGTGCTGTTACTAACTACTTTTTGTAAATGAAGTCATCGACACAGTGATCGTGAGTATTTGTCATAGGTTTATAGCTATGTGTTGGGTAGGATTGTAAGCTAACTGTTGGCACAGGAAAAATGAAAACCATTTATTACCATATTAGCATTACTTTTTAGTTTGTGTGTCAGTCTGGGTAGACTAGAGAAACAAATCCATGGACACACATATGTGTATAAGAAAGACATTTATATATAAGAGCAATTTGAACATTGAGAAAACATCCCAGTCCAGTCCAGATCAAGTCCGTAAGTCTGACATTAGCCCATATGTCCGACAGCAATCCATAAAGTTGTCTTTAGACTCATGAAACACATGCAGTGATGCCGAATGCAGGGCGATCACAGGCCAGGGGGTAGAACGTCTTTGGATCCAGTGGAATTGTAAGCATCTCAGCTCTGGCAGGGGTCTCTGTGTGGCTCTTCCAGCTTCAGAGGTCTTGTCAGCTGCAATGTCTCCCAGGGAGGAGTAGAGAGTGTCTCTCCTGCCTCCAAGAACGAATTATCAGATTTCTCAGACTTCTCTGGAGAAGGCCAGGTCCACACAGAAGCCTCATTGGCTATGATCTGATTGACAAGGTAGACTCCACCCCTACACTCTAAATCCTCAAATTGACAAACGATTATATATCTACCACAGTTTGCAACTTTCATTTTGCTTATTCTTCTACGTTCTTCAGTGTTTCTAGCTTGCTCACTGTAAGACTGGATGGAGTACTGGCTTTGAAAAGTCAGTACATTGCGTGAGTCCTTGTCAAACTGCTTCTCAGGTGCTGCTGGATCTGGGGGCAGGTTGAGAACTATTGATGGGCTCTCAAATACAAGTGAAAAGTCCCTGAAAACCTTTGTGTGGGAATGTGGTTTACCAGCTGTGTATGCTAATGCACAGGTAGTATACATATGCATCTATGCATGTAAAAATGTATATATAGCCTATGCATGACCTTCTATAATATGGGAGTATATAGTTGGTGAGTAAATGGCATAATCGCTTATTGGTTTTAAGTTTAGTTTTTAAACTTATTTTTAGAAAATGAGATTAGGTATACATCTGGTTGTCCTGTGGATTCTAGTTGTTTTGGCTTTGCTATTTTATGATCTTTTACAAGTCTTTAATTGCCTTAAACTTAATGTCCAGATTTCCAAATGGTTACTTTTGAATTAGGTTATCAATTGTAAACCTCCGTAAAATGTCAGTTCTCTTTGTGTTTATTAATAACCTTTTGGTGGTCTGTCAGAATTACAATGTAGAAAACATTAATTGGAACTTGGTAGAGGTGGGTTAGAGCTGGTGGGAAGATTCGGTGTCAGAACATCTAGTGATGTCCAGCACATGAAGTTGACCTTTGTGTAATGTAACAGCCTGAAATCATTAAGGGGATGCCTCGTGATAGAGAGTCTGTATTGGGTTGGGAGCGTGTGTGGCGAGCTTCTGGGGACAGAAAGAACTCGGAGTAAGGAAGGCTTGTAGTTTAGGCCAAGCAGGCAAAAGGTCCAGGATCTGAGCCATTACAGGTAAGCATCCAGAGTGCTGGCCCAAGGTCCAGACCTGAGCGGATGATAGTGGGTCCAGCTGTGTGGTGTATGTACCAGCTCCAGCAGTGGACAGGCCCAGCGTCTGTAAACCGGAGCTTCATATCGCGCCTTCCTACGTTGATGACACTTTTGAAAGGCCCCAGTCAGCAGCTGGAGACAAATTGTCACATGTGGTTAGAGACGGAAGTGAGTAAACTTTTGGAAATGCCCAGGTCCCCCTCTGCCTTCTCCTGTAGAAGTTTTCTTCCTGTTGTGAGGGCAGGATCTGTCCCTCGTGTGTACTGGTGGCAGCTGTAGTTGGGTCCTGAGTTCAAAGTTTCCTGTTGATAAGCTTTGGGGAGTATAGTTCAATTTCTGATACCTTGATTTGCAGCTGGCAGTAGCGAAACGGAGGGACAGCGAGGGAGGACGGCGCTGGGAGAGCTGCTGCCGACTTGAACCACACACACACACACACACACACACACACACACCCGTAGTCATGTTTTTGTCAAGGAAGAGATAGTGCTTGTGAGGATGGGGTGGGTTTTGTCTGTTTCTGGGCAAATTCTGGTCTGCCGATTGCTTAGGTGGTGTGCTCCAACCCCAGCCAAGCCGCCTGCCCCAGTCAAGGCTGACTCACAGTGACCCCGTAGCACAGGGTGGAACTGCCTCTGTGCGCTTCCTGGACTCTGTCTTTCGGGGAGTAGAAAGCCTGTCTTTCTTCCTTCACAAGTGGCCGGCGGTTTTGAATTGCTGACCTTGAGGCTAGCAGCAGGACTCCTTAGTCTTGTGCTGGTCTAAGGCATTTCTTCAGTTTATTAGTGTCTTACCCTTAGTGGAGCCAGGAAGCGGGCTGCTCGCAGCAGGAGCCATGCGCGTCATGCTCTTCCTTCTTCTCTCCAGATCCCGTCCCTCCTGGTCTGATGGAAGAGTGCTGCGGGCAGGATGTGCAGGATGTGCAAGCGAAGGCTCCTGTGCACGAGCATGCCTCAGCGAGCGCGCCTACCCAGGCCGCCACGGGGCAAACCACGCATAGGATAGAGAGGACCTTTCAGACGCCCAAGCCCCGGGGGGTCCAGACGGCTTCATCCCGGCTTACCTCTGTCTCCGCCCAACCCAAAAGTACCACCAGACAGAAGCTGCCTGCGAAAAGCCACTCGCACTGTGGCGTCTCAGAAAAAGCCATGTCACCCAAAGAACCGGGCGGCTGTGCCCTGCCTCCGGAAGAGCAGATGAGGGCGTCCGAGCAGCGGCCTGTCGAAAGCTCCGCCAGTAGTCAGCATCCGCCCGTGTCACTGCCCCAGATTCCCTGTCTGTCTTCCTTTAAGGCCCTCCCGCTGTGCGCGTTGTCTTTTACAGAGTTGGTGGAGGACTATGACCATTACATTCGAGAGGGCTTGGAGAAGCCTGTGGAGATCATCAGGCACTACACCGGCCCTGGGGATCCCGCTGTGAGTCACCAAAACGGCTTTGTGAGACACAGAGTCCCCGAAGAGAGAGTGCAGGTGTTGGCAAGTAGTAGCCAGTCGGGGGACTCTGAAAGCGACAGTGATTCTTACAGCTCAAGGACTTCTTCCCAGAGCAAAGGCAATAAGTCATACTTGGAAGGCTCTTCTGATACTCAGATAAAAGATCCCCGGCCTACTCTGGTGGGTGGCCGGACTGCTCTGGAACAGCCCCCCGGTGGAAAGGACACCCCCAGTCTGGAGGAATATCACAGATCCCCCGAGATCCCCCTAACGGCCCGGCATAAAGGAGGGGCTCACCAGAGAGCGAAGCAGAGCCGCCGGAATCTTTCCCGGCGGTCTTCCTACCGAGCGCAGGCAGAAGCCCAGGAAGACAGTTGGTATGACTGCCACCGGGAGGCACATCCGGGTTTTTCTGATAACTACCAGGATTATGAGGAGTACTGGAGAGCCTACTACAGGGCGTGGCAGGAATACTACGCCGCTGCTTCCCAGTCCTACTACTGGAATGCGCAGAGACATCCCAACTGGATGGCAGCCTATCAGATGCATACTGTGTACCTACAAGAAATGATGCGTGCTCACCAGCGTTTATAGGGCACTGCACCCGAGGCCCATGGAGCCACCAGCGAGCGCTGCCGTTGGCTGGCCACCCTCCTCCACCTATAGTAGCAGAGTGGCGTAGAGTGGCATTCTTGGGGCCTTGAAAAGAACTGAGGCTTCCCTCCGGTCACATCCGTTTCTCAGATTGTGTGGATCTTAGGCCAGGATTATTATCTGCTCAATTTAAGAGACTGGGTGGATCAGTTTCTTGTCATAGTTTTGGGGACCTAGAGTCCAAAGGTCCCCGAGCGCCATTTTCTATAAGCCATTTCAGAAAGAAGCATATGAAGACAGATTTCACTGCTCACTTCAATAAAAACACTTGCGGTTTGGAAAGTAATCTTAGCGCACGTTCTTTACAAAAAGCTTGGGGTGCATTTCCACCAAGGGGCCTAGGATTTTGTAACATGGCAGGTTGGCCAGAAAATCTCTCTCAGGCAGGAATTAAGCATTGCTTTCTACGTTCCCAAAGACTTAGTTTGGTGCGATTTGTTTTGCTTCCCTGAAAGCATTAATTTATCTAAGCTTGTTGACAGGTTTCTGGCTTTTCCTCTGAAGGCCCTTTATCCCTGCAGGTCGAGAGCGGTCCATGCTTTCACTGTGGGGAGTAGCGGAGGTTCCTCACCACCGCTCGTGTGCGTGTTTCTGCAGGCGAGGAGCACCTACGTCTGGTTTCTTGGAGCCTCTCGGGACTGACGCAAACTAGCTGCCCTCCCCGAGAAATTTCTCGTTCCCAAAACACCATTTCAAGAGGTGCATAGCTCCTCTGAAATTCATCTTAGAACCTAGTTTAAGAACTGCCGTGCTCTGCTGGTATCCCAAACCCAAACGCGTGACGAGTGTGTGTGTGTGTGTGTGTGTGTGTGTGTGAGAGAGAGGTCAGGGAGACTAGAGAAATAAACCTAGTGACACTCATATATGTATAAAGAAGAGAGAGAGAGAGTGTGTGTGTGTGTGTGTGTGTGTGTGTGTGAGAGAGAGAGAGAGAGAGATCTCGGGTCTGTCTAGAAATTTCCAGTGTTTGCCGTGTGTGTGTGTGTGTGTGTGAGAGAGAGAGAGAGAGAGATCTGGGGTCTGTCTAGAAATTTCCAGTGTTTGCCTCTCCTACTGGCGTCCAAAGGGCGCCAGCGTTTTCTGAGGTGGCACGTTTATAAATGCGGATTGAGAGGAATGTGCGTGGCCGGTTGCACACTTTTACTGTGCAGCAGACCTTTATGATCTAGCTTCTGGTTCTCAAAGCCTTCTCCGAGCTGGATTTGTGGTAAGAGAGCCTCTGCTGGGTGGACATGTGGGCTCATTTGTCAAGAGGAAAGCTCTTCGGTCCTGTGCCAACGACTGTCTGAATAGCACACACACTTCCCCAGGGCTGCCGTCAGATACCCCCTGCCATTGCCATCGACTGTCTGACACCCATGGAGCAGGAACCCCAAACTGTTCATTTGGATGCCTGGAGTTTGGGTTCGTAGGTTTTACTTCCGTCTATTAATCCTGTACAGGCATTGCCAAGTTAGAGTGAATACATTAACATTGTAAATAGCAAATCCACAGTTGGGTCCAGTATGCCATTAAGCAGCAGAGACTGTAATTATACATGTGAATTAAAATCCTGTCTCTGCTCTCTGCTATATAATTGAACTGACCCCCTCCTCACCCCCGCTTTCCCATACAACCCAGCAAAGATCACAGTTTGTCATTGCTAGGGGATTTGAATTAGGATACCGCTACATCTTAATTAGAGATGAGGTTACTCATTAATCTTGAAATTAATTGGATCCTCTCTAGGTTTGTCTTAATTTGTGTTTGCGTTTTTGGTTTTGTTCTAACTAGGGGGTGAGCACATACGTGCATAGTACTAAAAATAAAAATGTTGATTCACATTTGACATTTGTTAGGAACATTTCAGTTGCTGCTGCCCCAAATAAAGGAGGTGTAGTGGTGAGCGTCCACCAGTTGGCTGCTGCAGTATGTCTGGTGTGTTGCTGTGACGTTGAAGCTTTGTCACTGGTATTTTTGAAATGCCAGCAGGGTCATCCAAGGTGAACAGGGTTCAGTAGAACATCCAAACTAAGAACAGATTACCAAGGAGGAACCGGCTGTCTTACTTCCGATGCGCTCAAATGTAACAGTTCTGAGTATGGTGCAAGATTGTGTGTAGGGTTGCTGTGAGTCAGAACTGACTCCACACCTGACAACAGTTGTGGGCCTGGAGTGTCTACGCACTCTTGATTATCTGGGTGTGGGGAACTGATGCGTGTTCCCACTGTGTTAGGAACCACAGGTGTGTTCAAGGTTAAGTTGGCCTGAGAACAAATGCTCCGTGTAGTGAAGCGAACCGACTCACCTTGTGTAGGCCGTAGAGTCCCTGTTTTCATTACCAACGCGGGCCTCTCGATGCTTAGTTCTCGTCCAGGCCTACAGCTTCACCCGCGAATGAGTCATACTGTGAGATGCCGTCGAGGTGGCTGCAACTCAGAGGCCCTTGTGCACAACAGATGAAACCGCCTGGTCCGCCACTGCCCTCACAGTGGTTAAAGCCCACTGGCCGCTGTCGGTCCGTCTCGACAAGGGCATTCCTTTTCACGCACCCTCGATAGGATGCGTCTCCCAAGCACTGTTCTCTCCTGACACCCTGTACGTGAGAGTAGGAGGCAAAGTCGCCCCATCTTTGCTGCTCAGGAACATTTTGACTAGAGCAAAAGTCTGTATGAAGGATCTTACAGATTTAAGCAATTTGGATGAAGGGCTGAAGTGTTTAAATGTTAAGATTCCTTAAACTCGGTGCACACCCTCGAGCTGCTCCTGTGGGCTCTAACCGCCCCGACAAGGCTAGTCCTTCCAACAAGCACTGTGGTCTGGGAGTCACCACTGGGTGATTGTGACTTACCAGAGTATAGCACATTGTAGAATGAAGAGTGTTTTCATACTACAGGACTAAACTTTACCCCTCAATACAGAAATTATAAAAATAGTATAGATTGATCTGCATAAGGCCAGGGAAAAGTGTAAATAAGTGGCTGCTAACCAAAGGTGGGAGACTGAAGTCCAACTAGAAGCACCTCAGACGGCCTGCGGGTCCACTTAGGGACAAACCAGCTATGGGAAAGCCTGTAACCCACACCTGGCCTCCAGGAGTGAGGGTGAGTGGTTTTCACATTGAACAGAACCCAAGACTGCCCATTGTTAGCCGACCCTAGAGTCTCATCACAGGTAGCCAATTTTTTGTGTGTGTCAGATCACACTACCTGTTGTGAAACTAAGCAAGCGTGTTGGTCACACTTGACATTTGGTGCTTTTTAAACACCCACGGGTTATGTGCGCTGCTGCTCTATAGTGACACCTAGTGGGTGATCAGAATGAGCATCTGTGATGGAAATGAATTTCCCAGCCCACCTCCGGCTTTTGGGCATCACACACGTTGTGAAATCAGCAAGACTCATGTTATTACCACGTTAAGGGCAGGTCAAGTGTGCGTGTGACCCTCATGCCCAAGTCGGACCATGGGACTAAGGTTACAGCGCACGTGTGAGGTATTTGGTCCCTCCATTTTACAGATGAAATTAACCCACATGAAGGCTGGTCTGAAGTCTTCCCAGTGAGGCCGGGCTGGGAAATGTCCATCGCTGCCAGCTAATGCCACAGTCATTCCAGCCAAGCCATCACATGAAGGGTACATTACTTAAATGTTTGACCATGTAGCTGGCTAATTTTTAAGTTGATAATTTTATATAGCACGGGGATGATGTTACAAGTATCCAAAAGGCCCTTGGCAGGGAAAAGGTTCCCCCCCCTGCAGTGAGGGGTCGGACTTAGCTTGATGCCCAAGCTTTCTACTGTGAACCATTTTGTTTCCTTTTTAGTTTGAGACGCTGGCTTGAGTGAGAGAGGAGACAGTCTATGCTGCCTCAGAGAGTAGAACCAGGACTGACACACAAAGGTGGCTATCGCTTCGCCCCCCTCCCCCCAAGTAACATGGGACTGGGCCTCAAACAGACCTAGACAAATGGTAGCAAGTGAGCTGCCCTCTAATGCCCACTACAGGCAGGTGAGGGAGGACTGCAGGGGCGCCATGGAGGAGGGGTTGGAGAGGGAAGGTTAAGTCTAGATTTGTAAGCACCCCTTAAAGATGCTGTGACTTCTTCAGTGGGCTCCTCTCTCTTCTGGGATCCAGCCGTGCCTTGGGAAGGAAAGGATACTTGGTATGAAAAGGAAACTCGTGATCACGTCCGGGTTTGTGGCACATTGTTTAATCCAGATCGGATACATCAGGTACAGCAGTGGCACACGACTCAATACTGTAAATGATATACATGTTTTAACAGATGCACTACAGTTTCAAAAGAAGACGACAGGGAACTCAGGAGGGTTTGTTTTGTTTTTCTCATAGAAAGTTTTCACATGTTTATCTTCCTGCAGTTTTGTACAGTATACTTCTTTGCCATGGTGGTGTTAGTAAGCAAAGCCCATTTCTGATATGAAAATAGAAAAGAACACACTTGATGTTTTTCATGATAAACACTAATGGTGGGGGGGTGTGACCACCAAGGAAAACATCACATTGGAATGTCTGGTTATCAAATAGGTGCCATCCCTCTCACTAGCTAGGTAAGTCATCCACTGGTCCAGGGGGCCTCCCGGGACTTGGGCCAGGCCCTCTGCTGCTCACAGTGAATCATCCAATGTAGTTAGGAAGCTACGGAGACAAAGGTCATTGCTAGAAAACCAACGTCCTGAAGACATGGCTAAGAGGAGCCGCTACGAAGCGATGTCTTTTTCCGATCGCGAGTTCCCCAACGGGGCTTCCCGAGACACTGTTTGGGCTCCGAGGGGCACAGCATCCTGTCTTTTTTTTCTTCCCTCAGGCCGTTTTAAAGCTGTTCACCAATGAGATTCCACAAGGAAATCAGAAAGCCTTTCAGGTTCCTGTCAACGGTTACCATGCCAGCTATTTAGAAGGGAGCTACTCTCACCTGCATTGGGGTCTTCCTGCTTTTATAGTTCACTTAGTTATTGGGCCGGGGTCACTGGAATCCAGATCACCTCAATATGTAGTTTGAGCTCCATTTCAGCCACTACTGCCGAGAAGATTAAAAAAAAAAAATTGAGCCATAATACTTTGAAGGTGTACTTTTCCTGGACCTGGTCTTCCTGTGTGATTGTTGCATTAACACCTCTTGTTGGCAGGGGTCATCCTGTCTGGAATACAATTCCCCTTCTCTCCTGAATATGCATGTGTTCATCTGCCAGTGAGACTATCTGGTCTTTTGAGCAAGATCCTATGTATTGTTAGTCCCAAGATTGACGCTGTTTGCGAAATTAGAAGGTGAAGGAGAAATAGTACAG